GCATTACATATGCCTGTGACCATATTATTTCTGGTTATACAACAATGTTAATCTATTTGTAGCCAGAGTGCACAGTTGCATACATCTAATTGTGTGTGGTTTCCCTACATTTACTTAACATTGGGTCTTTCTATACAATTTTGTGCAGGATTGACAATTTATCATACCGAAGGAACGATGGTTCCTAGGCAAGCTTACAACATCGTTCAGCAAGGGTGTGCTTTCAAGTATTCAAGCAAAATTATTTGAGTGACAGAAGCTCATTATGAGGGGAACATGCTTTGCCCATTTTCTCGACTGCCATGAAATTGTGGTACAACCGCAATTAATTCACTACTTCCTCTTGCGGCAGGTCCACCAACCTAATCCTGAAGAGATGTGGTTTTTAGTTGCTGGGCGTTATGTTAGATTCTTTATTCCTGAGTTTTGCATAGTCACGGGGCTGAGATGTTCTGGTGATAGTGACATGGGCATTTTTGAAAGTAGACAGTCATAATTGAAGAATAAGTACTTTCTCAAGTGGATACCGTGACACATGAAGATGTGAAGTCCACATTCATATCTGCTTGCCAAATGCCTGATCTGGATCTTGTTGAAACTCTCCCGGAACATGATGTTACACTCATTGGTATCCTGTACTTCATTATTGCATACTTATTTCCTAGAGATTATAAGAAAGTGGTCGACCATTACTTGTTCACGCTGGTTAAGGACTTCCCTGCGTTGAACAGTTTCCCATGCAGAAAGTTACTGTTTGAGATTACTTTGAATTCTTTGAAAGATGCATTGAGTCGAGAAACCACACATTATAGGCTACGAGGTATGTTGGTAGCCTTTCAAGCATGGATCTACGAAACCTTCCCTGACCTAGATGAAGTTATTGTCACAAGGGTATCGAGGACGCACCCTCGAATCAATAACTGGAATGCAAACGAACAACCTTCTGCATCTAAGTTGGAGGAACTGGGCTGCTTCAACAAGCCTAATGTAATGTTTCAGTAATCCATATTCTGCTGATAGTGGAAGATATGGTAAACTTATTGTTCTCTAATCTTTACTCTAATGCAATGCAGATTGAAATATATGACCTGGTGCCTACTGAAGTTGAAATGGCAATGCTATACATGAATGGCATGCAGCATAACAAACCAATTCAGCCAGAGTTTTCTCGAAGCAGCCGTCGAAAGGAAAGCAGGAAGGAAAAGTCTGTTGACCCTTCACACATGAGTGAGGAATCAGTGCCTTTGGTAACGGACACTGGTGTTAGACAAGCTCACATTACAGATGATGATGACGATTTTGTGGATCCTCCAGGACGATGTGAGGTGATATCCCATCAGGAAACACCTCGTGCTGATGAAGGCCCTTCAGATCCCCAACATTCTCCAAATGAAGAACAACATCATGGGATTCAAGGGAGTGCTATAAGATTATTTTTATTTCTGTTCAAATGTTTTCAAATTGTGGTCACAGTTCACTTAGTACTAGTCACAGTTCACTTAGCACTGGTCACAGTTCATTTCTCATGGTCACAGACATCTTTTTGAAGGTCACATGTAACTATTTATCTTAATCATGTTTACAGGTGCTTCACGATTTAAATGTGCAAATATCAGAACTTAAGTCACAGAATAAAGTATTAACAGTGGAGATGGACGCCATCAAGTCACAGATGTTGAGCCTCACTTTGATCAGGCAAAAAAATATTTGAAATCATCCTAATGCAAGGACAGTTAAAACATGACATGACCGAGATTTGGATGAACATGCAATTCCAATTTGAATTCGTGACCGCAATGATCTCAAGCTCAATGGATGAGATATTAAGGCGATTCAATGATAGGAAAGGTTGTCTAGTTAATCAGTACGAAGACACGGAAGCTGTTATAGTTGGATGTGAAGAAAGTCATGCTGTCAAAGGAAGATCAACGAGGTAAGCACATGATATGTTCAATCTATCTTTCACCGACCATAGTTACAGTTTTCATGTCTCAAATTCTCCAATTTCACTTACAGGTGGAAAAATTGCAACCTGTTGTCGACAGGAAAGGGAAGGGGAATGTCAACCCAACTGAAGATTTGCCTTTCCATATAGTCTTGAACCACCATCGTTTGGCCTGGGTATCGGATACACACAACCGAATGATTTGTAGTCTGTAGAAATTCAAAAGCAGGTAGATGCTGTCATATCTGATGTGTCACAGCATCCCAAAATGTTGATGAAAAGTTATTCAAATTATTATTTTTTTGGTGTAATTTGCTAGTCACACAATGTGTACATCGAATTTATACAAACTAAATGTGACCTTTTAAAATTCACAGGGATCACCAACTCCTAAACCGACTTCTGAATTACCAGTTTAGCGGGTTTCAAGACCTGCGAGGATATTGCGGTCTCCATTTGTTGCCGGGGAAGGAAAGGTATCGCAGCATGACGGTACTGTTATTGTATTTGGAAATTAAAAAGACCATGTTGAAGAATCTGATAAATCTGCATTCTTGGGTTGGTTTCAGAGAGGGCATAAACCTAAAAAAGGCATGTACATTTTTCTTATATTTTCAAATACACTGGTCACACAGTTACAGTATCTTGACAGTCAACTTTTGGTAACAGGAAAAAGTTTAATGAGCACGATGACCAAATCAAACCAACGTTTAGTATTGGCTTATACGCAGTCAGTCACAAGACATGGTTCCACCAGCTGATAGATGCTGAAACATCTTTAAGCGGTTCGGTATGGTAATGCTTATATATCTGTTCACTACACATTTCCTTGTTAACCAGTTACACAACATTAAGAACCTCATACAACACCATTCACATATCGTTGAGCTGCCCACTGTCATAGAGTCATAACTTTTTAATGTTGTACCTAAATGTGTCCTTCATGTTCAAATAGCACATGGATGCATGCTTCTACTATATTCGCCAGGTAGCAAGATTTGGGAAAGTAAAGTTTAGAGCTACAACGATGGACTATTGGTTCCAGAACAAGATAAAAGATATATTTCCCACTTTCCAAAAAGACCCTCAAGTTCTGTTGTCGGAGAGTAGCTTGATTAAGGCTGCCACAGGTCACCTAATATCCCTAAGCACATCTTGGGCCTATGTAGACTATGTGTTCATGCCACTCCTGCCCACGAACAAAGCTCACTGGATGCTAGGTCTGGTAGAATTTAGAAGTCATACTTTGATGCTGTTCAATTCTGCTGGAAAAACTTATCGTGATTGGAAGGTGCTGGAAGGTATTGAGTCTTATGTGAAGGTATTGCCTGCTCTTATGAAACCGTTGGAAATTTCGAAAAAAGACCCCGATTACAATGAATCTGAATGCAAGCAAATGAAGGTGACCATTGACAGTAGCCTGCCTCAGTAGACGAATGGGTAAGTATGTGACCAACTACAGCAGTATAACTTGTAAATTAATTAATTCATAACATACTATATTGTGTTCTTTTACAGTCATGACTGCGGGGTGTTCGTGATATTGTATGCATTGTATATCCTCCGTGATGGCAGATGTGCTATTCCCTATCAGTTCGATGCTGCAAAATGTAGACTTGATATCGCCTCACTACTCTACAAACACCGGGAACCTTAGGTGAAGAAGACGAGGTAGGCTTTTAAAGGGGAGGAGATTGTAATAAAATGACAAATATAAAAACATTTGTAAATGAGTTTTTTGCTTCAGTTGGTAGCCTTTTATATTTCTTTCAAGCAGTGGAGGTGTTTGTACTCAATACTATCATGTGGATGTGAATATGCTTTTGCAATACATGGGTGCCCCAACCTTCAGTTGTTAATATGTTGTTGCTTGGATACACAATTGTGCTTTTAGTCACAAATTTATTTTGCAATGCTGTGTGTAAATAACAGGTCAAATATCAACAGTGCCAGGTCACAAATTTAATATTCCATTTGGTCGGAGTTTCACTTTGACATGACACGTGTCAATAACAAGTCACATATCATATGCATAGCAGGTCACGGATTTAGCACTCATAACATATGATGTAAAGATCAGGTCACAGGTCTTATTGTACATCGGAAATTAGGTCACAGTACCAGGTCCCAGATTTAGTATTGCTTTTGATCGGAGTTTCAGTTTGACATGACATATGTAAATAACAGGTCACATATCATATGCATAGCAGATCACATATTTAGCACTCATAACATATCATGCCAAGATCAGCTCACAGGACTATTTGTGACCGAAAATTAGGTCACAGTACCAAGTCACAGATTTAGTATTGCTTTTGGTCGGAGTTTCAGTTTGACATGAAATATGTCAATAACAAGTCACATAGCATATGCGTAGCAGATCATAGATTTAGCACTCTTAACATTTCATGCCAAGATCAGGTCACAGGTCTAATTGTACACTGAAAATTAGGTCATAGTTCATGGTATGTTGTAGTTCTACTTTTGGTCACGTGGTTTCAATTTTTGTCACAGTTGTAGTCTGTCATGCCATTTGTAAATAATAGGTCATGTACCTGGCCAATGATTTGGTTGTGCTTTTGGTCACAGTTTTAGTTTGCCATGACATATGTCAAAAACAGGTCACATATCAATTAAAATAGCATGCCAAGATTGGTCACAGTTCATCTTATTTATGAAATCTGTGAATGGACATATATTTGTTTTCCAACACGTTTAGGTCACAATTCATGCCTTTAAGTGAATTAATGGTCACAACTCAAATATATTGCTGTGTATGGAATATATAATCATAAATTTACACAACTCTACGTTAAACTGAATAAAAAGTGCAGATGTATTTAGCATTTATTACCTTACTATTTAAACATCATTTGTCAATTGATCAATTGAAACACATTTCTACATGTCGATATGCTAATGACAATTCAAGAATGCGATCTAACTTTGATAAATCTTCATCATGTATTGACTTCCTATCAGCCATTCTTACTTAATGGGACCAAACTTGAGCATCTCCTGCGGTTGTGACCATGTGCACAACAACGTCTACATCTTACTTTTGGTTTCCCTTCCAAGATGATCTCTTCCTCTTCTCAGTAGGTCTTCCAGAACTCCGCTTCTGGTTAGAAGCTAAAATAATTTGGAATTCTACTTCATCGAGCACTCTCCATTCGTCTGAATTTCCAACAGGATATACCAAACTTTCGTAAGCATTTACATATGCATCCTTTCTGTAATAATAAGAACAGTAAGAATATGCATCCCTTTTCGTATATGCGATTACAACCAATGTATGTGGACAAGACATCAGATCGACCTGCAGTATCCTGCAAGTGCATGTATGTTAATCAATGTCAACAACAAATGTGGACCTTTCATTGTTTACAGAGAACACTGTTTGGTTGGAAGGAGATACCTGTGAGAGTGTAGTAGCACCAATGGTATGTGTCAGTTTAAAGTCAAAAAAGAATATGTCACAGACATTCATATTTCAGTGCACAATGGTATGTTCAGGTCACAAGACTTCATACTCAGGTCACAGGTTTAGCATTAGCATACAAATTATATGGCACCACAAACAAAGTACATAGCGTCACATATGTAAATTGCTGGTCATATGCAATTAATATTTGGACACATAATCACATACGTACATTCCATGTCATAGGCACCTATGATATAATCACATGCATATTTCTGTTTAGTCCACATACACAAACTTCAGGATACATAAGAAAGTTACCCTAAAGTTCCTTAGTTCTAAACTCATTCTCCTCATGACGTTCTCGAACTTGCTAGCCAACATCGTGAAAGTTCCATGCGCTTTGTCTCTATGTTTACAGAACCAATTTTGTACTGTTTGTCGCAATGACTCCAGCAAGAATACAATGGGGTAATTATTAGCTGCCTTTGTGATCGGGTTTACTGATTCTATAATGTTTGATGTCATTGTAGAGTATCTGTTTGCCGGCATATGTATTCGTGACCACTTTTTAGGGCTTACTTCATCTTGCCAAAATATATCGTAGTATGAGAATAGTATAAAAGGATATATGTGACCACTTCACTGCATGTGACAATGGAGTGCTGTAGTCAGTACAGTACCAGGTAATCACGAATCTTATCATTCATTGCGTCTAGTTGTTGCATGTTGTATTCAAATTCTTCTAATGTGTAAGTGCGGACAGCCAAATTGAAAGCCTGCGTAATATTTTGCCCCGATTTCCCATAATATGATTTTAGATTCTATAGCAAATGGCACGAGCAGATACCATGGCAACTTCCCGAATACACTTGTTCTATTGCTTTCTTTATACTGTCATGACGGTCCGATATAAAACACAATCATTCTTTGTACCCATATGCATTCTTCAGTTTCTCCAAAAACCATCTCCAAGATTTGTCATTCTTATTATCCCCTACTCTAAAAGCAAGAACAAATATGCCATTATTTGCATCCTGTGTACATGCTGTGAATAGGGTACCTCCGTAATGACCATTCAAATAAGTACCGTCAACGACAATTACGGGCCTACAATGTTGCCACCCCCGTATTGATGCACCGAGTCCATAAAACAATACTTGAACCTATTGTAACTATCGACCTCTAACTCTGTGACCGTACCAGGATTTCTTTGTCGAACCATGTAGAAGATGCTTGGTATCCTACCGAATGATTCCGTTAGATCACCCCTAATCATCTTCAATGTTTGTTCACGGGATCTCCAAGCTTTTGAGTAATTCCAATATACTCCAAAAGTATGTAGCATATCATTGCATATGCCCTTTGGTGTGTATATGGTGCCAGTCGATGTGTACTTGTACTTGATGCTAGATAACACAACTGCAGCTGATACTTGTCTGTGTGACCCAACACAACATTTGATGCACATGTGTGACTACCAATCTTTCGAATCTTAAATTGATTCGTTTTACCCCATTTTGATGATCAGTATATCCAAGTACATCCTTCCTGAGAACACCTGACCACATGTTCTTTCTTGTCGGATCGTTCAACCATAAACTCAAAAATGTTTCGTATGGCAAAAAAGGATGGCTCAATTTTAAAATATCCTTATCACGGAAAATCCTTCCTTTTTTGACCTCAATAGCATCTGCTATAGAAACAATCGTGACTTCAAATGTGACCTACATGTTTACTTGATGCTTTGCAGATTTCTGTGGCCACATCCTGCAATGTATAAAGCTCTCTATTACGATAAGCATTATCTGTGACCATGTCAGATGGGTACTTTATTGCTGCATCAATTATGTCAATGATTAATGGGTATTTAGCGGGATCACGATCGACTTCTTTCAGCAGAATGTATGCAAGCACGTTGCTGTTATTTTTTATCCTGATTGCAGGCAAATTATCATTGAGTATATATTTCAATGATACTGCTATCTTGGTCGGATCCAAACTGAACTCTGACATAATCGTGTTTACAAGGTTTATATAATTGCATCCACGGTCTACCAACGTCAACGGTGACTGAGATCCATGCAACAAACATACGTGCAAGTATACCATTTCTGCAAAATTGAACTTCAAATCCTCACATTCTCGATGGTTAATTTAATACTGTGCATACAGTTTTATATAAGAATTTATGTAATAACATGAAGTCACACATGACACTCAAAAAAGCAGGTCACATTTGGCGACACACAGGTCACATCTCATGAACAAAATTGGTTTCAGTCTCTTCTCGAATTCGCTCACACGTTCACGTATGTGACATGCGTACGGATACTGTTGTGTCGAGTGGTCATATTTTGGTCAAATATCGGAATAGGTCACACACGGGTATGATCAGTGCAAATATAACATATCTTGCAGATAATCGAAAACAAATGGAGGTCACATTTTTTTCACAGAGGTCACATTTAATCGTCCATAATGAATCCTCTGTTTCTTCGTCTTCCAGTGTTAATCAGAAAGGTCACATACGCTGTTCACATCTTATGTTTGATGTTGTTACAATCTGGCACATTTGTTTTAGTGGTCACAGACATCCACAATCGATGCTATACTTGTCTAAGACTGGTTACACTCAATTAAGTCACATATCATGCATGTTGTTCATGTCCCACTGCACAATATTATTGAATTTGAGACATATGTGGCCACGATAGATACGGTCACTGGAAATTTGCGTATAGAAGAAATTCGGACCTTATCTAATGATGCTAAATGTGAAAAACTAGCAGTGCAATAATCGGACCAATACCTGGATTGATTTCTGTTATGCGAAAACGTCAATTTCTCCAAGCCGATTCCAAATATGTGACACAAAAATATTAATTGATTGATTTCACTTTTGTTCTCTCTCTAATTTACAACAGTTATTAATTTATTGTTGTAATTATAAAATTCATACACAAATCACGTTTTTCTTTTAACAGTGGAAACATCTAAGTCATTCAAGAGTCCACTTCGTAAGTAGGACCAAAATCCTGAAACAAAGGAAAAATGGAAAAAAGAGGGAGAAAAATCTGAGTCAGTCGGTTTAGTGAAATTTCATTAAATTGTTTAATAATCTTGATTCAAATTTAATCTATAAATAGCTGACTCACCTAACTTGAATTTATCGATAATTAATAATTTGAAGTTTTGCTAGTAAAATTAATGGGACCACATAATTGGTCCCCAAATTTTGAAAAAATGACTAAATATACTCATTATCTTTAAATATAGCCCCATAAACCCCCCAATGATTGAGAAAATAGGTATGATTTGTCTCTATTGACAAAATTTGTCCAATTTGACCACTATGGCCGTGTACAATTACAAAATTTGCACGCCCTTTAGATAAAAATAAAAAGAAGAGAAATCAACAAAATGCAAAAATAAAGAAAAACTTGCGAGAAACCTCCAAACCTTTTCAAAAAGAATAAATAGACTCCACTTATAAAAAAGAAAATAATTTATTAAAAAAAGGAAAAAAATGGGTAAAACTCTTCTCCAACCAATCCCAACTCCTCCCCACCACCATTTTCTAATCCCCACGCACCTTCGCCTTGGTGGAACAAGTACAAATCCAACCATCACAATCACTCTTATCAATCGATGCTACCTTCAATCATCCTAAAATTGTAGCCACCATATATCGTCGTTGCCGTATTCACAAACACGAAAATCCCTCTTACCCTTTGAAACAAGCACCCCAATGCCAATTCCAACAAGGAATATTTGTTATCAGTTTGGAAGAATACAACAACACAGATACAGTTGTGTGAGCATGATTTTGACCTCCTCTGTTTCCGAAAATGGTTGTCAATCAAGAACATGTCCAACCTACAAGGCTTATGCTCCAGATGACAGTGTAAGGGAGAAATGATATATTTGGATTGCTTTATTATGAACTTGTTGTAACTATTTTTTATTTTATTAAAGACATCCATGCTTTCCTAATGAGTTTTTAGGCTCCACCAATGAAGGTGGATGCGAGTTAGGATTCCTCAACCACAAAAATGACCCCATATACATGAAAGGAGGGGAGCATATACATAGCCTCCTAAAATCAACATAGCAAAAAAATCTAAAAGTAAAAGGAAAGCAATAAATGATGAAGTACTACTTTCCATGCAATGAAAGAATAAGTATATTAAAACTAATTTATAGACTTCTAAAGTTGGAAAATCCATATCTATCAATTTGTACAAGTGCCTGAGTTTGTCGAGGAAGGTCGAGTGACCCATCCTCTTGGTAAAAACGCTGGTCCTAACCCTCAGAAGCCATTGAATTTGCAAACTGGATTCCCTCTCTGTAGATGTGGGAGATAGTGTTACAATCAATGAAGTGTTTGATTTGTTGAAGAATTCCCTGAATCGCCCATGGTCATCCATTGCTAGTAATGCAATGAATAGCCGCACTTGAGTTTACCTCAATCCCTATGTTTGTGATGCCAAGTCCTATGGTAAGAAGAAGCCCATCCAAAATAGCTCAAATCTCAGCCTATAAAGTTAGACAAGTCCCATAAGATGAAGAGGATGCCCTGATGCAGCATCTAAAAGTGATCTTGAATGATGTCCCCACCACTAGCAACTCTATCATTGACGCATTCATCAGAATTCATCTTGTGAGATACCACTAGTGGAGTACCCCACGTAACTAAAATAGTTGGTGATAGGGGAGAGAGTGTCAAAGAAATATTGAACAAGGGTGCAAGAGCCAAATCCCCTCGCTAATGTATTGATTGAGAAAGTCCCCATGTATGAAGAAAATAAATCATGCTAAAATCTCTCCAGATGATCCATCTAGGCACCATACGGATTTCCTTGTACTTCGCTTCATTTATCTCAATCCATAGAAACCAGAATACCAATAGAGGAATGATAGTGCGAATGTGTTCCTAGCGTATGTGCTGTCCAAAATATCGCCATCTCTGAAACCTATATCTGGATCCCTCACCTGACCATATGGATATTTGAAAGATGTCCCAAAAATGTTGTCATGCCTGATTAGAGATGATACTGCCTGTGAAAATATGACTAATGATCTTAATCTCAGAACAACAATGACAATGAAGAGGAACTTCTTGTAACTATGTGGGTTTAGGACACTCATCAAATGGGGAAAATGAATACAATTAAATAGACTTGTGTAGGCAAATGCCAATATCAATTTAAGTCACATTTTCTTACTAAAAATTCGTGGCTTAAAGAAAGAGAAGATGAAGGCATCAGTAAAACTTCAAGATCATATCACCACCAAAGTCAACCTCACGAGTTGCCATTTTTCCTTCATTTTTGCATTTTATTGATTTCTCTTCTTTTTCTTTTTACTCGAAGGGAGGATAATTTTGTCATTTTACATGACTGCAATGGCTGGACGAATTCTATCAATAGGGGTGAACTATGCCTATTTCCTTAACTATTGTGATGTCTGGTGTTACATTAAGGAAAAATTGCAGCCGAGGTACCAAACCTTTCGTTTATTAGCAGACTTTGTCCAAACCTTTCGTTTGTGCCAACCACAGTTCCAAACCTTTCAAAAATATGCAGCGGGAGTCCAAATGGATGGAAACCGTCCGTTTGACTGTTGTTGACCAATAAAATTAAATTTTGACCAATTTTTGACCAACTTAAAAGGGTAGAAAGGTAAATTTGACCAACTTAAAAAAATCATCTTCTTCATCATCTCA